AAATAAAAATAAACAGGATTAACAAATGTATTTATGCACGTATGTGCATATGTATTAAAGTTCTGCGTTGCGGAAATTAACTTGTAATTTTGTAGCTGTGACGCGATGCGCGACAATGGAATTTATTTTATATATACTTTTTTCTTCTTTTCTTTTGCTTGTTCTTATACTTTTTATGCGCTTTGTGAGTTATCAGCAACTCGTATTGTTGTTGTTGTTATTGTTGTTATTATTATTGTTGTGCAATATTAGCTTGTATTCATATAGTGCATATGTATGCCCGAGTGACTTGTCTGTCCAGGAGGTGCTACTTAACGTTGACTTCGTGGGTGGGTGTGTGAGTGTAAGCACAGCAGCAGCATCGGCGGCAACGGCAGCCGCTCAAATCGTAAACATTGTCCAACAGCGCAAATTTTCGTGCACACGCACACACATTCATTCACATTTAACTTAGCTGATGAAAGATGGATGCTCTTATCGCTAGATAATATCCACGGGAGATTAGCATTGCGAGATATCGCTTTTCACTATTCTTTCTTTGTTAAAGCTACTATATTTCGGTAGGAATCCATTAAAGTATAGACTTCTCAAAAGTTTAAATAAAGGAGGAAAAAAGTGCTTAATCACTTTCTCCGCGCGCGTGCACTTATTTTAGTTAATCACTTTAATTAGTCGAGTCGAATTTACGTACATAAATTAAAATTATAATTCTCCAACAACAACATACTATAAGTGAATAAATACACATATGTATGTATATAAATACATATGTATGTATGTATGTAAATATGTACGTTCTCTTGTATGCTTATAGTATCTACATATATGTATTTATCACGTTGTCAAATCGCTGTGCCGCCGGCCAAACAAGTGCTTTACTTCTTGCTTCTTATCCACTACTGCAGCTGATCGTGTCACTTATCGTACTGAAAGTACAAAATGCGTTCACTCAACGCCAGTCTGCTCCACAATTATCTTCATAATCATCAAGCGTTTTTGCCGCTCCCCACTCGCGCATCACGCACATACATATGTACATATGTAAGTATCCCCACCGGCACCAGCGTCACTATGTATGTATGTACATATGTGCCGTAGTCAGTCACCGTCACCAGTAACGCGGCAGGCACTGGCGGCTGGCCGCCCCCATAATTGAGAAGCCCTTTGCGTTGGCAACGTCTATGGCGGCAATGATAGCAAAATGCGGCGTGTGTGTTCTGTTGATGATTGCTGCCGCTAAGGGTCTACTGGAGATTATCTTAAGATCGCGTACGCTTTCCCATGAGCAGGGTGGAGCGGTTACAAGGCAGTCAGTTTTGTTCATGTTTTTTGTTTATTTTTGTTCTTCCAGCTTATTGTTGCTGTATGTAGAATTCACGCAACATGCTTGTCGTACGCACAGATGTATGCTATAGTTTTTGTTCAGTGACGTTAGAACGAGAATTTGTTGAAACAATTGATAAGAAGAATGTTCAATCATGTCAATCAAATTGCGATAAAACGTATTAACAGAGTTGAAATCAGCTCAAGGTAGATAAGCTAAGGTAATACATGTGTGTATTTATGTACATTAGGGTGGAACGGAAACAAAAAATGTTACCTTTCGAAATTCGAATAGGTACCTAGCGTGGGATCATTGCCTATGAACGTCAATAGAAAACCCAAAATTTTTTAAGTGAAACTTCTTCAGCGGCGGTTGGTTGGTTGGGAGCAGAGGTGGGCACTACCACAAACAAGCGTTCGCTAGAAGTGAAAACGTGTTAGTGTGCCTAATTCATTTTGCATGCTGCCGCGTTCCCATCGTTACGCTCTTGCTTGTATACGTACACGCGATGTTTACGCTCTTTGAGCGTGTGCTCGTTCTCTGCTCATGCATGGTTGGGAGTAAATTGGCAAATTCAACGGAAATTGCACACGAGAATGGTGCAACGGAAATGATGCAACGAAAATGATGCAACGGAAATGGTTGGGACAGAAACAAGTGATTCTTGTGTGTTGCATATGGTATTAATTATACAAAAATTTGCTTATAAAAGGTTAAAGAATGAGACCTAGATAAAGACCAATACAAGAATGAAAGTAGAGTTGAGTACGTAAATAGATAAAGAAAAGGATAAGATAAAGGCAAAAATTAAGATCAAGGTAAATTTAAACGCTTTACTTATATATATAAGGGCAAAGGTGAAGAGAAATATGTAGATGAAGAAAATAATAAACATAAAAGTAAAGACAAGGGGGAGGATGAGGATACCGATAAAAGTAAAGATGAAGATAGGGGAAGAAAGATTAAAATAAAGGTAAATAAAGAGGAAAGGATATAGAGAGAGACACCGAGACTCAATCTGGGAACTATTTTGGGATTTTAGAGATTTTCGCGATTCTAGGGACTTATCGATAAAATAATCGATATTTCTATCGGTTTATCGGATATTTTTATCGATTTTGTTACCGATATTTTTTATCGATATTTATCGTTTTTGTTATCGATATTTATCGATTTTGTTATCACCATTTTTATAGATTTCGTTATCGGTATTTATCAATTTTGTTATTGATATTTATCGATTTTGTAATGGATATTTTTATCGATATTTTTAACGATTTTGTAATGGACATTTTTGTCGATATGTTTATCGATTTTGTTAACTATAATTTGAGCGATTTTGTTATCGATAATTTTATCGATTTTGTTATCAATTCTATCAATTTTGTTATCGATATTTATCACTTTTGCTATCGATATTTATCGATTTTGTTATCGATATTTATTGATTTTGTTATCGATATTTTATTGGATGTTACTATCGATTTTGTTATTGATAGAGTTTAAAGATACAAATGAAGATGAAGGAAAACAGAATAACATAAATGTAATTAGAACGAACAGGGGTAGAGGTAGGGATCTAGATAGAAAAAAGACAAAAACAAGTAATTTTTAGCAAAAAAAAACCGACTTAAAAAAAAATATATATATCTATATATTTCATGATTCAATGATCGGATCTAAACCAATAATATTAATAAACCTCTGAGACACTACCTTTCCGTTGCAAAAAGAATTATTGAAATCGGTTGACGTGGTGCAAAGTTATGCGGTAACATACATAAAAAACAAAAATAAAAAAAATATTCCGACGAACTGATAACCTCCTCTTTTGAAAGTCGGTTAAAAATAACCTTAGTTAAGCAAAAGCAGATTTATGTATGTTTGTACATATGTATGTATGTATATTGGTTATGAGACAAAATAGATATGTATGTAACGTAAGTTTCACTTCTCCAGTGTGGGCCAGGCGCACTTACGTTTTTTTTTATTTTAATCGTTTGATACCCTTTTTGATTACTATTTTGAGAGTTTTGTTACAGGCGGCATACACGGTGCGTCTGTCTCGCGAGTCGCTTTGGATGTGTTAATAATAATAATAGATTGGCGCCTACACATATGTTAGTCTTTAACCGAGATTCTCCTGCGATTTGGCTCTGTTGGTGAAAATAAATATGATTCTAGCAAAATTCTGAATCACGCAACTGTGTGTAGTCGAAAGGCGAGTCAACACGTACACAGATGACTCGCGACTCGCGACCCGCAACTCGCAACCCCCGCATTTTAAATTTTCAGGCAATAGTCTCATGCGATTATCGATTATATTTTTTGTTGTTTGTGTAAAATATTTTAGTTTTATCAGTATTTTTCTTTTAATCAAAATTTGTTGAAATAAAAGTGGAAACAAAAAAATGTTGTGCCAGAACATTAGGTAAAGTAGAAATGTGAAAGGAATTGAGGTCAAAGGAAAGATAATAAATATCGGAGCGGTAGTAACTATATCGAAGTGTCGCACTGGCAAACCAATAAATTTTGTCACAATATAAAATAATCTGCGTTGAAAATGTTCCTAAAATGTTTAGCGAATACTTAGCAGATTGACAAATCGAAGCAATACTGTACCTAAATATGTATATTTAAATATGCTATTCAATTAATGTTACCTATTACTCGGAAGAGGTGTGAATGTATTCTACTTTTGGCTGTAACATTTTTTGCCAAATATTTAATTATGACGTACCTTTGAGTTTGCTCATATACGTATGTGTACATATTTATGTAAATATGCGTGATAGGGATGTTACGAATATTTTCATTCGCATTCGCATGGAATTTTAACAAAAAAA